TCCCTACACCAGGGCTTGACCATGACAAACACATTGTGTCTCCATTTCTTGAGTTTCTAGATACTTTATTACAGCATGGTAAAAGACGTCATTCATAAGAGTGGACTTTTTTTGGGAGGTGAAACCTTACATATAACACAGATATTGAGGCTAGGGACTTTATTTCTTCCATCCATTTCCAATATACTTTCCTCTAATGTCTTCGAATTCTTTATCTGTCTCAAAATCATGATGGCATGTGGTTGTTAGATATATGAAGTATTTTTTTAATTTAAATTTATTTATTTACATTCATTCACTATACATCATTACAGCATTCAAAATGAGATTTCCCATTCAGAACACACTGTATATTGGCTCAATCAAACACATCAACAAACGTGTTATCGTCAATAAATAATTTTCCATTTCTTGTTTCCTGTATATTTTGCTTTTTTTTTTTTTGCCATCCTTGAGTACCTATCTCTCACCCTCTGCCCTGCCCCAACCTCCTCCTACACTGTTCTAGTATCCATGGTTACTTTCTATGCTTTCCCCCCCATTTTAATGATTTGCTAATGAACTTAATTAATCTAAATATTTCCAATAGCAAGTGCAGCTGATACATACATATCCATGAACACAAGTCTGACTTAAGCATGAACCTCAGTTAGTAGAATGAACTTACTATAAAGTAGCACCTAGCTGGGGCTATATAGCTTACTGCAGTCATCAAATATGCATTTTTTTCCCTGAAACTTTTTTTTAATTAATTAATTTACATTCATCCCCTAATCATCACCATAGCATACAAAAAGTGGCTTCCCATCCAGAATATACTGCATAATGGCTTAATCATGTATGTATCATCAATAATTTTCAATTTCTAGTTTCACATATATGTGTGTGTGTGTATATATACACATATATATATGTCTATATATATATTTACCCCTATGTCTGACCCTATCTCTGGTATCTATAGTTGTATTCCATTCCTTCCCCCCCACTTTTGATTGATAACACAATTTCTTAAATAATCTGACTACTTTCCTTTTTTTTCTTTTTTTGGAGATGTTTTTGCTATAGGGTGCATGCGCTCACCAGGGAGACAGAGAGAGACAGAGAGACAGAAAGCAAGGAATCATCCCCTGGGGGGATGGCCACACTGCAATCCCTTCTTCTTCATTCTCCTCTTGGGATCTTGGGCACACATGCACATGCACCCAGCATGAGTTCAAGCCGCCAGGTCCGGGACTCGAACCGTGGTCGACTACATGGGACTCCAGTGGCATAGCCATTACACTAACTGCTAGTCCAAATAATCTAACTACTTTCAATAGTAAGTTCAGCTGGCAATTTCAAGAAAAGCAGTTTTGAATTGGTAAGGAAATTTGCTTAAAACTTAAAACCTGGAAACAGGCTAGAATTCTGTTCAAATAGTAGGCACATGAACCTATTGACAGCTCAAGACAAGACAAAAACTCTTAAAATCGGACAACAAAGCCTAGAAGAAAAGCAGCAGTATTTTAGTCAGAAGTCACAGGATGCTATTTCACCAGTTCAGTTTCATGTATTTAATTTATCTTCTGTTGTGGTTCGATCTTCCGGATTGAATTCTGGGATATAATGTTCAACTCCAGGCCATTTTCTTAGTTTTTGAACTCTTATTTCTGTGTGTCTGCATTTAATTTTCCTGATATAGAACTCCCTTGAGAACTTCTTGGAGATCTGGTCTGGTGCTGGTAAATTCTTTCAGGTTTGTTTATCTGAGAATGCTCTTGTCTTTTCTTCCCATATGAAGGATAATCTTGCTGGGTACCATATTCTTGGTTGAAATTGCTTTTCCCTTAACACTTTGAATTTATTTTTCCATTCTTTTCTTGCTTACATTGTTTCCAATGAGAGATCTGCTGTTAGTCTGATGGGATAGCCTTTGTAGGTGACTTGCCATTTCTCTCTTGCCAATCATCGTATCTTGTCTTTGTCTGTGGTTTTGGTCAGTCTGGCTATAATGTGTCTTGGAGAAGATTTTCTAGGGTTGATTCTATTTGGGGTCTTTTGTATTTCTTGGGACTAGATATTTGAGTGCCTATCTAGGTTTCGAAGGTTTTCTTGCAGGATTTCATGGAATAGATTATCAATGCCCTTATGAGTCTCTTCACCTTCTGGGATGCCAATCATCCGGATGTTTGGACATTTGATGGTATCTAGTATTTCTTGTATATTATTCTCAATTTTTTGGGCAATTTTCTCAGTCTTCATGGTGGATTTTTCTAGGCCAGCAATTTTCTGCATGACCTAGTCTGCTTTTAATACTTTCAAGAGAGATTTTGACTTCCTGTATTATAGTCTTCATCTCTAACGGTTCCATTTGATTCTTTTGTAAAGTGTGTAATTCCTCTTTTAGATCTTGCAAGAATTTCCTCACCTCCCGGAACTCGTCAGTTCCTTTCTCTTTTCTCTTCTGCAGTTCATTGTCTCTCTTCTCTTCCATCTCTGTTAGCTTCGCCATTATGAATGTTCTAAATTCTTTACCTGACATTTCCATGATTTCCATTGAACTGTCTGTGGATGAAGAGGAGTTATTCTTTTCCTTTGGATGAAAGGTATTTTCTTGCTTTCCCATATTTCTTGTGGCAGTAATTTCTAGTCATTCGATGGCAAGTGTGTTTCTTCCCACACTTGAAGTTCAATCTGAGTGTCCAGGAGCGTGCAGAAAAGAAAACAGAGAGAGAGAAACAGTAGCAACAAAAGCAACCAAGAAACAGAGAAAAAGAGAAGAAAAAACTATGAAAAAACATTTTTTTTAAAAAGCAAAAATTAGAAAACCACGTGGAGTGCTTGCACACCATGCAAAATCACTAGCCATGAAGGTGTCTTCCTTCTGAGGCCTTCTCCTTTGCCTCTCCTGGGATGGGAGAGGGAGAGGGGATTATTAACAAGATAAAGGTAAAGGAGGGGCTGAAAGCCAAGAAACTGCTTTACCTTAAAAAATTTTAAAAAGGAAAAATTACAAAAAAAAAGAGAAGACAGAGATAGAGGGAGAGAGAGACAAAGACAGAGACAGAGACAGGAGGCTTGAAAGTCTGCCTACCATGAGAGTTTGTGGGCTGGAGGCTGAATTATCAGTGGAAAATCTTCATTTCTCCTATTCCCTTGAAATCACTAGTTCTCAGTAGCCATTAAGGTGTCTTCTGAGGCCTGCTCCCTTGCCTCTCCTCGATTCCTGAAATCTACTATGTCCCATAATGGATATTTTCCTCTAAATTGTTTCTGGCTCGCTTTGTTATTCATTCATTCATTTTCCCTTTTCCCCCTGTGTTATCATAATGTCTGGCCTAATAACAGCTGTGAATGTTCTCAACGTATTAGGCAGAGTTGAACAAATGATAATTTTAGATGAATAAAAATGACAAAAGACAATTTCTTCTTACTTTTAGAAAAAGTTGTTCCTCATGATTCCTGAAAATATCTTAAGCTCCTCAAATCAATGTAGCTTTTGAAATTCTCTTATGATCTCAGAATTCTAAGCTTTCCTTTAGAAGGCAAAATAGTTATTTAAAATGCTCACCATCAGCAGGCTCTTTTTGTATCACATTTTTAAGTTCCTTATTTTTGAGCTTGATACCCATGTTGCCCAGAATTGTGTTCAAGTTATTGACATCAACCTTTCCTCCTAAAGAAAGAGATAGAAATATGAGAAAACTTCCATAAAGACACAGTGTGGAAAAATACTTCCCATGCTTTTGAGTTAAATTAATTTACAATGGACCTGGCAATTGTTGAGAGTTAATTGGGACGACCTAACTGGCAATACTAGCATGATACCTTAAAATGTTCATAACTCTGAGCTATTTCTACTTTTGGGAATACAGAAAATGCATATGAAAAAAGGATGTGGGCTTTTGGAAGTGGGCAAATGTTCATAATAGTCTTAAGTAAAACAAATAAAAAAGAGAACATGTCCCAGAATTTAAATATCCAAAGTCTGAGTATTGTTAAGTAAACCAATGCATCTTTAGTCAACAGAAAATTACATAGCAATAGAGATACAATGAACAATGTAAATAATGCATGTGATTTTCCTTGCCATTTACAGACAATAAGCATATAAGTAAATCTTAGAGAGAAAACATGAATTTATTACTTCATCAGATGGTCTAACTTCCCCTATGATCATCATACTGTGAGCATCTCAACTCAATGTGACTTTAGAATTAGGTATATTTTTACATATCATGGCTCTTATTCAAGCCAACTACTTCATCTTAATTGCTCAACTATAGGAACAGTTCCATCACCAGAGGAAAAGGTGACTATTTGGACATATCAAGACTAGTATGTTGGGTGTCTTGTAAGCAAACTTGCACTGGGATTTCAGAATAATTTTGACTATCTGATATTATTGATATCTTAACTATTTAGACCTGAAAAATATTAAGGAGAGTTATGATTCGATATAGTAGGAATGTGAGTTTGCTTGTTTTTTAATTTAGAAATCTTATTGGGAACAGCAGTTGGCATAATGGCTATGTTGCTGGACTCCCATATTGTCGACTGCAGTTGGAGTCATGGACCAGTGGCTTAAATTTAAACACACCAGGTGCATGTACTTGCATGCCCAAGATCCAGAGAGGAGAATGGAGGACAAGGGATTATGGAGTGGCCATCCCCTCTCGGGGGTGATTTCTGGCTTTCTGTCTCTGTCTCTTTCTGGCAAGTGCACGCACCCTATAGAAAAAGCTCCCCCCACCCCCCGCAAAAAAAAAAAAAAAACACCTTATTTAATAGGCATGTGACAACTTTTACATAAGAAAACAACAACAAAAATCCCTGACAATACACTGCTGAGCATTAAGATGGTTATTTCCAGCACCAAAGGCTAAAACTTTAATTAGATCCATCCAAGATTATACAAAAAGACGACTGTGGAGAGACTTAGGACCAACTTCTTGAGTTTGCCCCTGGGATCAAGCCAACACAGCACACACTCACAAAACTGTAAAATTAATATAAAATAATCAATATATAGAAGAGGTGGCAAAGGAATCTTGAACCTAGTAAGCAGAAAAATGGCACATGTAAAGCTTGAGAATCTCAACATTATATACTCTCGTTACACTAATTACCTACCTTTCAAAGACTGCAAACCTGTTAGCAATCTATTCTGAAAAACTTTCTTATCACCTGTAAGAAAAGGCATAGTTCAGGACAGAGAATGACTCACAGGGAATACAAGGTCAGGCCTTCCTTTGTGTAACTGACCATCGAATTTAATCCTCTTTCTCTTTCAAACTATAATGAAATTAAGAACAAAGAAAGTGGTATAAAGTTCAAGAGGCTGACTTTAATTCTTGTTCTACTAAATACCTTTGTGATCTTAAGTAAATTATTACTGTTCCTATGCCTCTGTTTCCTCCACTGTAAAATGAGGATAATTTATCATCATTTGGTGGTGAAGTTGGTACTAACACATCATTAGGACTAAATAAATGCTTGCCTATTATTAATAGATCTACTTACTCTTTGACACCCTCTCCCCAAGACAGCAACAGAGCTGAAGTTCACATACTCATCTTTTTCTGTTCTGGGTACAGGTAACATGTGAATACATATCACTTTAAAATATAAATTTTAAAAGTAGAACCATAAGCGCCAGCCAGGTGTCATGGTGGTTAAAATGACTGGATCCTATATAGTTGACTGTGCGGAGCGGTCCTGGACCTAGTGGCTTGAAAAACACACTGGGCACATGAGCACGCATGTCCAAAATACCCAGAAGAAAATGGAGAAGAAGGGACTGCAGCATGGCCAACTCCTCTGGATGGGGGCGGGATGCCTTCTCATTTTTTTTCTCTCTCTGTCTCTCTTGAGGGAATGCATGTGCCTTGTAGAAAACAAAAACAAAACAAAACATAAAATTAAACTCTGTGGAGGTCACAGTAACACATATTCAACTTACCATCAAGCGGTAGTAATTTTAGCAGTTCCTCACATTCCTTATCGTTGACTTTTATCCCCATGTCTTTAAGAACATTTTTCACATCTCCAGCATCAACCTTTTCTCCTGTGAAAAAATAAGAGTGAAAATTTTGGAAATTAATAAGTTAATTTTTAAAAGAGGTTCATGACAACATATGATTAATCTTATATGAGCTATGATGATATATTTTTCAAAAAATACAATAGTTTATATAGCGTCACTCTCAATTTGGTGTTAAGAGCAAAAGCAAAATTAGACATGCAAATACAGTGTGTCAACAGAAGTCAAAGCAAGCCTGTTCATATAATGAAGGTTCTCAGTGTTGGGATAATGTGTAGAGTGAAATCTAATTAACAAATTGGATAATGAATGCCAATAAAAATAATTATTGCCAAAGATATTATACTAATTTACATAACTGATCATTCATAAAATTATCTTGAGTTTTCAAAGACTTTAGATTATTGATTCATGTGCTTACCTGAAATTTAGCTATTTACATGACGGTAAAGAGATATATAAAAGTGAAAAAATATCTCTGTACTACATAGGACTTTTTATCAAGACCAACTCCTATGGTTTAATTCTATAGTATAGATAGTTCAAGATCAAATGGATTTTTATTAAACTGATATATTTTCCAATAACTAGGTAAAATGGAAAAAATATCAGCAATAAATTACTAGGAAAATAACATCTAAAATATAATTTAGCATGAAGTACGAGTAGAAGCTCACCTGTAAAATCTTTCATTTTCAGCACCACGTTTTTCAGATCAATCTTCCCATCAACTGTAAGACACAGAACCGTAACAGACCAATAGTGAGACTGCTCTTTCTACGTTCTCCACTAATGAAACCGGCCCCCAACTGTTCGAACATTGATATCTTGAATTATAGTTTATTATTACATTACATTTTTATACATTACACATTTACTTAGGTACCACGTAACAATGGTTCTTTTAAGTTCTTTGCCTTTTTTATGCATTACACTACTTTTTCCTGTATTCATTTTTTCATTAGAGTATCTCCCCTAGTAATTTTAGGGAGAGGTAGTAAACTTTCTGTTCTTCTGCATCTGAAAATGTCTGTTTTACACTTAGCCTTGAAATGTTAGGTGTTTGAAATTATTTTTCTTTAGTTTTTTTATTTTTATTTTTATTTTTTTGCTATAGGGTACCAGTGCTAGCTAGAGAGAGACAGAGAGACAGAAGGAAAGGGAGAGTAGAAAGCATCCCCTGCAGGGAATGGTCAAGCTACAGTCCCTTCTCCTCCATGTGACCTTCCTTTTATTTTGGGCATACATGCACATGTACCTGGTACATTTCTCAATCCACCAGCTCTCGGACTAGAACTGCATAGTCAGCTATGTGGGATCCAGCTGCCTTAACCACTATGTCATTGGCTGGTATCCTTACAATATAGTTGATTTGGGGCCAACATGTGGCACAGTGGCTAAGGCATTGGACTCCCACACGGCTGACCATGGTTTGAGTCCCAGACCTGGTGCTTGCTTTTTCACATTTTCTCTTTCTGTGTTTGGTGACTACATGTACCTTATGACAAATTAAAATAAATAAATAAGTAAAATTAAATAAATAATTCTTTAAAAAAATAAAAAATATATAGTTGATTTAAAATTTTTCACTTGTTATATTCTCTGCTCTAACGGTATCTAATATTCTTATACTAGATCACTCTGTGAGTCATCTCTATCTATCAGCTTTTCTAATACATTTAATATCTGTCTTTTCCTCTGCATTTGCTGTGATTATCTTAAGTTATGTGATTTTCAACCATCTTTATTTTTTACTTTGATGTTCCTAATTTATTTAATTATTTACAATTTTGGGGTACTCATTTTGTTTCTTTCTATATGCAATTTCTCTTTCAATATTATCATGTTACATTATCTCCTTGTTTTTAAGCTTCAGTTTTATTAGACCCATTATAGTTCTATACTGTAAAACAATTGTAAAGAATTTTTTGGTTGTTCCTCGGGTCATTTTTTTTTTTTGTAGAGAGAGACTTTTGCTATAGGGTGCATATGCTTGCTGGAGAGACAGAGAGAAAAAAGACAGGAAGCG